CAAACCAGCCGTCTCAGTTACACTTAAACAACTGAGTCGTGCCCACGCCTCCTGGTCCCCCAGCTGCACCACCCCGGCACAATCCATAATGAGATTCCTGGCTGTTTTGCCATTGATACTCCATGATGAACTTTAATGAGATGCTTTGGAAAAGATGAGCTCAAATCAGCACTTTTCCTTGGATTGCAGGCGCCGGCTCAGAGGAAGAAGAAGTGGAAAAAAAGAAGCTTTTGCCAAGGGGTGGTGGCGGTGAGGGGGGTCAGCATCGATCCATATGCATTGTCTCATTAATTTCGCCAGAGGTGTGGATTCCTCGTGATCGATATCCAGCGACTGCATCTTTATTCTTCTGTGTAACCTATTACTGTCTGTGAAATGCAAGGCCCGGACAACAATTAGAGCTGTGGAGCAGGCAAGGCCAATCAATAGCATAGATGTATGATCTGTAAAGAAGGAAGCAATAACTAGTCAAAGGTACAGGGTGAATTCTTCCAAGGCTAAAGGCTAATTTGGTTGAGTGACTCCACCTCAGTCAATGGCCACCATGCTTCTCCAGAGCTCAGCCTTAATAAGAAGAGGGACCTTCAAGACTTTTTACAATACAGCTCTGGGTTCCAGGGTCCTTTCCATCAATCTGCTGTGATGAAAGCAATGATCTCTTCACTTCTTTGCCTTTTGCACAAAGCTCTGGACTACTAAAGGGCTCATAGACACTATAGGTATAAATATGACTGAGAAATATATGGAGGCCATGAAAACTACAGTATAATGTGTACATTAAAAAGAGGAAGGTTTAAGGTGTTGCGGATAAATACAACAAAATAAAACAGGTATCGGTACCAAAAAAAGAAGATTTATTCATAACACACAGGAAAAGACCCAGGGAAACCCAGTTAACAATAAAATAAATAAATAAATAATGATAAAAAACATGAATTTCACACCCGAGCCTCAACTCTCGCGGCCCGGTACCAAACAACTCACGGACCTGTACCGGTCCATGGCCCGGGGGTTGGGACCGCTGCTATAGAAGTCTGCAATAAGAGGGCTTCTGTTGTGAGCTCTGTTTAGTTTATGGCCTTAGTTCAGTAGTTTGGCTAATATTAGAAAAAAGCCTGTTTTGGCCAATAAGTGCACACTTTCTTGCTCCTTGTTAGGTCAGTTTTTTGGAAATGAAATGCTCATCTCGATCATGATAGCTAAAGCCATCTTTTATACTGTGTATAGGATCACGGTAAAGAAACTGGAGTGAACAGCAAGATGCAAATACATTAGGAATAGAAGAGAAGTCGAATGCTTATCTGTTATATATAGAGAACTTAAATAGTGCATTTTATAGCTAGCGGCGCATCACTGAGCACGGCTCATTTCCAAGTTAGTGAACAGCTCTCTGAAGATGGTGTAAGTACATTTGTTCTATATTTGTTCTGCTAGCAAGAAAATAGCAAAAGAATGCTATAACAGAAAACAGCCTTATATATAACGAAGCTGTATGCAGTTATGTGCACAGCTGTGCATGATTAATGTTAGCAGGTATGTTTGTAATGCTCAGTTGTGTGTACTATTGTAGAATACACATGCACAGCTTCTCAGCTCCAAATGTCACTAATTTGCATATTCTGGTTGACTTCATTTTGAATGCCAGCAGCTTATTCTTACTTCTGATCGCCCAAGTCTGTTTCAAAACCATGTTTGAAAATGACTTCCTGTTCTTAAAAAGTTAGTCTGAGCTGTACTTCTAAAGTTTCGACCACCACTAGAATGCTAACATCCTAACTATGCTATTGGTGGCACTTGTAACAGTAGCAATGCTATCGCCCTCAGCTCAAGAGTCTTAAAAATGTGTCAAGGAAGGCTAACTAATTATGATGTTGATTATATGAATAATGATGACATTAGAGAGGTGATTAGGACAGGAGCATCATCATGGTTTTCTAAGCAACGATTTCAATGTTTTGATGCAATCGGGGTTGCCAGGCTGGGGGCTGATGACAGGCGTGCAGCTGCAGAGAAAGATGACGTCCTTGCGTAGCTCAAAGCTTCCTCGCCCAGCTGTATTTTCATATCAGCAGTACAGCGGCTGTTAGCATATTAGGCTGTCCTTTTCTGCCAGTTCCTGCCATGGTTTACAAGTAAATGGAATGACTATAAATCACCGGTAAATCACACAGCAGAACTAAGATTATGTTGAGAATAATGACATAGCTATAAATCTTCCATGGTGCTGACTGGACTGGACAAAAACACAAGTTTATTCTGGGGGTTTGTAATATAATTTCCAATTCAGATTAGCCTGACATTGATGGATTGCATCATCATTCTCTCAAAATGCAAACTGACTTTTTTTTTGTTGACAGGCTGACAATTTGACGTTAGTTTATTGTGTGGGTGGGCTGCTTCATCAGTGGTTTGTGGGAATAAAAATCAACTCAGATTGTCAGATTTTCAAATTTTTATTAAGTCTGAGTGAAAAAGTTTGGAGGGCAAACTTTGGTGTTTGCTATTTCCACGTCTTCGCATAGAGTGACTCATCCCGTGGCTCGGGCAGTAGCGGGGATGCAGCTTATAGATATTGGTGAACTGTATGTCTAACAGCTTCCTTGCTGTCTTTTTCAGAGTGTAGAGGCACTTACTGGAGAACAGTGATGGCTGTTGGTCATTTGTGTATGGATTTCACTGCCACGTTTGAGAAGTTGCGGCTCTCAGGTATTCACTGCAGCATGAAAAGCAATAAATAGCAAAGCTATCTCACTGTTAAAGTCCACTTAGCTCCTGAGGGCCCGGTGCTCTATATGTAAATGAGAGTGCCTTGTAACAAGCACGTCTTCACGCACACACACATTGAAATCCTAGCTGAAGAACGCACGCACATGCACGCGCGTCTACCAAGTGACTATGACAGTGCTCTGCCTTAGATGAAAACAAAATACTCGTGAAGTTCTTTCCTCCAGCAGGCTGGACGCGAGGTGACTGCGTCGTCCTCCACCATTCAAGTGCTTTTCTCTTGTTTTCCTTTTCCTCGCACTTCACACTGACTCAGAAACAATTGAATTAGACATTGTGTTTGCCAGGCTGTTAATATCCTGAAAATCACCAGGTGGTTTGGATCTGTTTTTGCTCTGCCTCACACGCGCTTATTCAAAGCGAGCCTTTAAGCTTTCCATCACAATATTGGGACAAGAGATGAAAGCCAGAACCTTTGTTTGTTCGACCCCACCCCTCCGAGGTTTACCACTGACCTGAGAAAGTCTGAAGGTAATGCCAGTTAATCAAATACATCAGTCAGAGTGAAGAGAACGGCAGCGATGACCCCGGTCCGGCTCTCACCGCTGTGGCGTCTTCATGACAGGAAGGGTCGAACCGCAAGGAAAAACAAACTTCAAAAATGAGTGGGTATTTAATTAACCATGACAACATAGTTTGGCTTAACGAGCATTTCTTCCCCGACTAAAGTCTGCCATCCATTCTCTTGAGCTTCTCACAGTTGCTCAGGGCAACTCAACATATTTGCCAGCTAGCCACTAAAATGAGTGGGAAGCTTGCCAAAGCTTTGTAAATATACATGAAGATGAAACAGCTCTGCCAACTTCCTTCTGGTACACTGGGAATGAAGCTCTAATGAAGGATATTTCATGCTAACTTTTTGTAATGGAGCCTTTCTGTCCTGAATGACACACATTTGCACAGCTGCCCAACATGTGTTTGACCTCTGAATAATGCTTTACTTCAAGACTTTTTATGATATCCAGTAAGAATAATGACAGTGAGTCACGAGCCAGACTGGTGTAACACATTTAATAGCAAGGCCTGGCTAAAGCCTGTTTATGAGGCCCAAAATCATATACATCAGTTTAACTCCTGTGTGAGCTACACTCTTTTATTTTCTCGTGATGGTGGCATTAATAGTAGCATTAAAATGTGTTTTTTCCACCGTGGTTTGGTTACAGCTCCTCAGTGGGGTTGCTGTGGTGAGCATCCATCACCCTCCAACAGGCTGCTCTCTTCTCTCTCCATCAGGAATCACAGAGTGACACCTCGTTAATCCAACCGTGAAGATTTGCAAAGCAACTTGTGGATATTTTTACTGTAGTTTATATAATGCACGGGTCACTGTATACGTGGCAGTACAGAAGTACACAACCAAGTACTTCAGTGAGCCGTAGTCACTGTAGTGAATATCCTGCACATATGTAGGACGCTGAATCCTGCGCACAGCTGACATGCAAAGTTTTTACTGGAACGTTTTAACAATTTGTCTCTTTTATATTCTCTGAGTATAACTGAAAGGGAAAGCAGGCGCCTCTTTTGTATCTACAGCAGTATTTAATATATCGCTTTGTAGCCCTGCATTTTTATTTATTTGGGTGTTTTGCATTTACCAGCTGCCTCGTCACAGTGAAACAAGAAGTCTTAGGATCCAGCACTTGCTGCTAGCCTGCTAATGCTACATGTCTATGTGACAGGACGATGGCTAGGCTAATAATGAGCTATAAGGCTTTTGCTGGCTGTTTAATTACCATTTGTGACTGTTATACATTTTATATTGATAGTAATTATAATAACAATGATGAAGCCATAGTACTCAACAACATTACAAAATACTAAATACTTTACATACACACAAAAAGGCAGAAATTATCTAAATGTAACTGAAAAATATTTAAAGGTTCATTGTAAGAACATTTTAGTTAATGGTGCAAATTCACATTTCATATATTTTTTATTTTGACAAATGTCAAGTCTGAGGTTAAAAATGACAAATTGAAGTGTTGAAAATGTCAAGCTGCTGTTCACTGTTGGATATCCTCCAACTCCGCCTGCCACGAGGAACCCGTGAAGCTCTTTTCTGAAACTGAGCGGTTTCTGTCATATTTCAGCTTTGACTATAGAACACAGTGACTGGATGTGCATCAGACGTCGGTGGTCTCTGCTCATGCAGCTTTTACCTGTGCATATTGGTCCTCACAGAGATCTTTGGTCCACCTCTTCATCAGAGTGTAGGCTCCATAGCTCAGCGGCTAGAGCACTGGTCTTGTAAAGCAGGGGTCGTGAGTTCGATCCTCACTGGGGCCTTACCTGTGTTACCTTATCAGCACAATTTCATTCTGATGTGCTAAAAAATGAAGTGTCTACTCACCATGTTCTTAGAGAAACGCAAACCACTTCTTTATTGATCTACGCAGAGGTCTCGAAATCCCTCATTAATCGTGCAGGCGACGTCAAGTCTCGTCGTTATGGGACAAATGGAGCATTTTGGACCCAGCGTGCATGCATCCCTTAGAATACACAGTGCCAACTTCTTTTACATACATGTAAACATTTTGCAAATTTCATAAATGTTCAGCTAATCGGTGAATGGTCGCCTGCCTCTGTGTTTTGGCCCTGCGACTGCACTAGTCCAGCGTGCACGCTAGCCCAAAGGCAGCTGGGAATTGGATAAGTGGAAGAAAACGAATGGATGGAACAAACCCAGGAGGACTTTAACGTTTTGTGATCCCATCTTGGCACCGCTGCCAAGTTTATGGCAACTGATTGTCCAATAGTCTCGAAGCCGACACACAAGTAAAAGAGTCCTTACACTAGTTATAGATGTAGCTATAAATTCTGTGTGGAAATGTGTTACAGTGTAGCAAGAGTCAATTAAAATCAGATTTTTTGTTGTTATCATCCCCATTCCCAAAGCCTGTAGCTATTATGCAGTGAAAACACATATATTTGCAACTTTTGTTGAACAGGTGAAGCACACTCTGCAGTATTTCAAGGGCAGCCACTTGGCACTGACAATGCATGCTGGGTCTCACCTAGAAGGCAAAGTACCCGAACAGCAACATATTTTTTTAATCAAGGACCAACAGCATGAATTCATTTCAAAAGCCCAATCCTTACAGTGTTAGCTTAGACTCGACTCCTTGTTCTTCCACGGCACAGATCATTAAAATATGCTTAAATGTCTGTGGTTTAAAAAAAAGAAAGAAAGTGAGGGGGTAAAAAACTGCCCAGAGAAGTAAAGTGAGTGACTGTGAATCACTCTTAGATCGTATTTCCCTTAGCTGAGTTGTTCATGTTAAAGTTGTTTTATTTATAAAAGCATTCCAGCTGAATCCTTTCATGTTAGCTTAGATTCACTGCAGGCTTAAGAGTCAGACTGAAGCAAGCTAGCTTCAGAGACAACATCGGTTTTTTTCACCTTTTTGTTGGGAAGAAAGGGTACAAAAATAGTTTCATACAAGCGTAATATCCAATGTGACAGGCTTTAGCGCGGGTGAGCAATTTCGGAGCAAGTTACCCGCCCCTGTCTGTCTATTTCTGTGCCATAAAGTACTGCGAGCAATCGTAACCCATGCCCAGCTCGATCATAAATGAAAGTGACTTTGAGAGCAAACAAACAAACAGAGCTTAAGTGAATCAGTTAGGCAGAAAGAGGCATGTGGCAGGCAGGCAGGTGATGGATGGTGGCGCTTAGGAGCCGTGACTTTTGGGTAAGTGACAATGACACACATAAAGGCCACCATTACCCGTTTTAAGATGCGGTTAAAATCCTTATCGACCCGCCCGCCTCACTTGCCAATATGCCAGAGCATCACGCCAGCTGGAGCTAGATGGCAGGCGGGGAGTGATTTGCATTGACGAGAACTACCCCATCCCCACTTTATAACACTTGCACACACTCTTTATAGACAAGTTTCCTTATGTGAGCAGGGTTTCAAACCCAAAAGAGAAAAGCACCCATAGTAGCAAATTATTGATGGATTCCAAATGCTGCACTTTGCAATTCGTCACAAATGCACTTCAGAGTAAAAGTGTGCTGCAGAGTCAAATTAATACCTTGACACCAATTTGGTTGAGGACACTTTCTTCCACATTTCCTAATGCTGCCAAGTGACTCTCACATGTGCTGAATAATTGCATGAAATTACAGCTTCTTCCACACTTTTCAAATGTGCACACATGCCAAAATCAAACCTCGTGTGATGCATCAATAGGCCTACATCAAGCAGCAAATGGCTTTTTTGTTCTTCCATGTTAAAAAGCACATCTGTTCACGTAGCTCGCGTCCATCAAGCTGGTGATTCTTTCAGTCGGACATGCACAGACACACTTGTCCTATATTTTCACACGACACTTTGGGAAGTCTTCCTATTTGCCTCAGAATTGTAGCTGGAGCAGTGTATGAGACATGAAAGAGAAAAATTCAACTCGTTTTTCCCTATTTCTGAAAACAGTCTTAAAGCTACATGATGAACGTGGGCCGTGTGTCCCTGCCTTCATGAGCGCTCTAAACACTATGTTTCTGACCTAAAAACTGTTTCGAGTAAACTCGCATGCTGTTTACTCAATAATCAGGCAATTTTTGTTTTTCACTCTTGAAAGCTACTGGAACAGTAGCAGAAGCTCGGGGCTCAAAATATGACACAAAGTAAGTGCTGGTTTGAAAACTGCACATGTGGTGTCGGTGTAAGCATGTATATAAATGTTGTATTAGGTGTTTTTTGTTTGTTTTCTGTAGACGAGTAGTCAGAAGAGTTGGATTTGGATTACATATGAAAAATTTAATTACACCTAGTGTGGATCAGGTAAGATAAAAAGTAGACTACTTGACCTTATATAATTATTTTGTCTTGATAAAGTGGAACCAAGCCTGTGAGCATGTGACGCACTTCACTAACCACATGGAATAAACACAAACTCCTGGTTTGAAGGTTTCATTCAAGGTGTCATCACCACAGGTAGGCATGAAACGTCCACTTCTAGCTAGCTGCAAAGTCCTTGTAAACTGGCTAAAGTTTGATGTTAGGCAAGTTATTTCATCAAGTGATAACCACATGTTACATAGCACCTACATGTTTTGCCCTCTGCTAATAACTGGGAAAATTGCATGTTTAATAAGAGTGCTGCTATCCATCAGGGGTAGCTAATACTGTTGTTCTGTAAGAGAGAAAGTAGAATGAAAATGTTGCCATCAGTAACAAGTCCGTCATTAAACAAGTGCCAGTACCTGCCAAGATGTGTGCTTTATGATTTGGTATTATATCAGTGTCTAAAGGCTTATGTACACATGCTTTGTTGCCATAGAAAAAATAAATTATTGGTCTACAAAAGCACTTCTGGTCACTCTCATTGATTTCCTTCCATCAGTCCATCCATTTTTTCCACTGTTCGGGTCAAAGGGCAGCATTGTGTAGACTTATGTAGACAAAGGACAAGTTCACCCTGCCGAGGACAGGATTATCAGGGTCCCACTCTGGAGCCTGCCTGGAGCCCCAGCCCAGTCCCATGGGCTGACTGAGCCTCCTGTGGGGCCCATCCCATGCTGGAGGGGCTGCACGGGTTTGTTGTTGTGGGTTGGTTGGCAGTCAGGGGCGGGAGCCTTTACTGAGATCCTCCTTCCATACAAAGTTTAGATGTAACATTACCATCAGATAAATGATAATTGCTAAAGATTACTTCTAATAGCCTGAGGCTTTTTTGAGTGTTGAGTGTTTTCATATTTTGCTTTTACGAGAGAAAAAGCTCCGTTCACAAAGTTCACAGAAGTCAGGAAAAGTCTCTGTATGATCAGAGCTGTCTTGTATTTTGTGCCAGTGAGGTAAACGTCTGTCAGTAGTTATGTTTTGGTCAAACGTCGTAATTTCAGTCCCAAGCTCTTGAGTGAAACCATACTGTTGTTGTCCTTACCTACAGTTTCCACTCTCTTACATTTATTCAGTATTTATGTGAGCTAAGTGCTCAGAACTTTAACTTTTTGAAATGAAAGCCATAAATTCATCCTGCATAATGACGCCTTCAGTGTGAATGTCTGCGTTAACAATACAGTAGCTGAGTCCAAAAAGTATTTTTAACTATTCATACTTTGATTTGTGTAAAGGCGTTAAGGCTTCAAGGATTTATCTGTGTTTAACTAGCATCACCTCTATATCACCAGATATAATTTATTCTACCAGAGTTAATGGAAGTGTTGAGGTAAACAGCAGAATTCATTCAAAATATTGTAATCATTTCATCTGCTGCTTGATAATAATTTTGCATAATATTATTTGCATATTATTCACACTGTCAATTTACTGCAAATCTACTCAGTTTAACCCTTTAAGTACGAACGTAAAGCGCTAAATTAAATTAAATCGCAGGGTTTAAAGTCACGTTTAAAGCGCCCTGAGCGATGCCTGCACATAGGAGTCATTTCGGCGTGAGGGAGACCGACTCCGAAGGCCCTCAGACAAGACCGAGGTGGAGATGAAATGGATAAAGACTATGAATAGAGATTCCATTTTCCCCAAGTTAGAGCATGACACACACAGATACAGGGCACTCACAGAAAATCCATAAATGCAAATGGGTGTTTCAGATGCACCGTGGTGGCTGCAGGACACGAGGAACTGCACATCAACAAGCTCGTTGGTTCACGAGGGGACGAGTGGGTGCTGCATTGATTTCTGGCAAACACCTTAAAGTTGATTTACTTATTCTTGGATGATATTTATTTATTTACTTGCTGCCTGTCGTGTCTTTTTTTTTTGGTATTGTTCTGAACACTGAGTTAGGAGGTAGCCACACACTGAAGACAACAACTGTGGCTTTATTATCTCACATAGGTGCTTCAATTTTTTATCAGAACCGTTGGGAGGAAAATATTACAACTTAAAATTAGATGACTCACCCACAACTGTCTCTCGTGTGACAGCAAATAAATCATCACAAATTGGAAGTGTTATTAGATAAATCCTCGATGTGTCTGACTGTGGGTGTAAGGGATGAAGTGGCAGTGCTGGATTCAAATCTTCAAATGTCAAGTAGCTGTTAATTATAAACTGTATATGACCTCTTTGTCTTTTGAAGCACATGGCCACTTTTTGTTTTTGCTTTTCATCCAATGCATCATCCTCACTTGAGACCCTTTTTCCAACTCCCCAAAGCCTAAATGCCGCGAACAGCCTCCCTAGAGCTTTGTGATAGACGAAAACCATGAGGCTGCTATGAATAGTCTTCTTTTTCTTTCTTCCCCCGAACAAGAACATGAGACACGACCGTCACAGTGCTGGGAGAAAATCTATACATGCAAATCATGGTGTGTT